TGTATGCACGCCGTGGCAAGGCCTCAACTTGCATAGTTTAGGGTTAGGGATGCCCCTAGCCCCTTGCAGGCTCCTTTCCAAAAGCCGGTCCTCAAGTGACAAGCATAACACAGGCCCCACTTCGCCGGTAGCCGCCTTTCGTCACCTTACATTGGTTCCCTTTTGGATACAATGGTTCATGCACATCCCTTAAGCATTAGCTGTGAGTCGATAGCAATAAGAACTTCTTCTTGGCGAAGCAGGCGAAGTTTCGCTCAGTTTTTGATTTTACAGACCGAGTTTAAGTACCCTGAAATGCCAAGCCTTAAAGACACCCTCCAGTCCCCTTCGGTGGTCTCCTACAACCTGCTGATCTCCGGAAATGCCGGCGCAGGGAGAACAGAGAAGGCTGGGTCCAAGGAGTTTGTCGTTGTGGTTGTTGGGGTCGGTGTTGTGGTAGTTGTTGGTTCAGTAGGGCCGCGCCATACTAACAGTGACCACACACACACACACACGCACAAACAAAAACACCAGAGAAATGTTAAAATAATGGACTTCCCATGATCATACTTCCAGACTTTTGCAACATGAAGATCAGTGGCCATTATCCACACCCAGCATACTTGAAGTATCTGGAAAATATCGGTGTTTTGCCTTTTCCACTCTGCTGGCCATTTGCTTTTGCAAGAAGCGTAGCAGTGATACCGGTCATTTGCATCTATGGTGCGCCTAACTTGCGTCTATTTTGCGCCGAATTTGAAAAAGGAACCCAACATCCAACATTGCTTTGTTTATCAAGGGGGTTTTACCCGGGTTATGAGATATGATATCCCAATCTTCTGGTTTTTGTTTAAGTACCTTTTCGGGTCCCTGCATTTTGCGCCTACTTTGCGCCGAATCTTTCCGTGCAATGATTGTGCAATGAATGCAGTGAAGCATGAGGTGGCTAGCTGGCTGTTGTTGTGCTTGATCTATGAAGCAACGGATGCAAGCTGTGAAATAGCAGCATGTAAACAAAATTGAGTAAACAGTAGACACAGGTGTCGAAACTTCAAGAAAGCTTGATCTAGGCTAAATCAGGTTCATGATCAGGCACCCTGGATACAACAACCCTAAAAACGAATCTGCTTCTGACACCTTGGGTTTTGCTTTAATTAAGGGGGCGGGCAGGGCAGGGCGGGCCATATTAACGTTGTGGTTCTTTTGCTGGCTGGGCGGCGGCCCGCCGTACCAGAGAGTGCTGAACTATTGGTCTCATTGGTATTCCTAAGCAACTTAAAAGGGAAACTTTGGCTCTTTAGTCTTGTGCTCAAGCTGGTGCTATTTTTTGCAGTTATATGGTGTCTCGTGCTTTTGCTGGTGCTAAATTTTGGGCTCTTGATTCTGCTTTTGCTGGTGCTACAGTTTGCTTTTGCTGGTGCAAAATTTTGCGCTCTTGATTGTGCTTTTGCTGGTGCTAAATTTTGTGCTCCCGATTGTGCTGTTGCTGCTGCTAAAGTTTGTGCTCTTGGTTGTGCTTGTGCTGGTGCTAAATTTTGTGCTCTGGATTGTGTTTTTGCTGCTGCTAATTTTTGTGATCCCGATTGTGCTTTTGCTGGCGCTTCTTTTCTGACGCGATTGACATGAGCAACGTGATTCAAATATTGCTTTCCAATTCGAGACACAGAGTGACCTTGCAGCAACACTGCCGCCAAAGCTCGCCTGCAGCCGCCGAGGCTACCTTGGCCTGGCGAAACACTACCATGCATTGTCCGCCTACTGCCCAGGAACCGTCACGCCGCGGCGACACAACAGCCCCACAGCATGTGCTGCGTGGGATGCGCTCAAGCTTCTGCCTCGCTTGAAACTCTGTCCTACGAGTCCTGGCTGCGAGGCGAAGAACAGCAGGCAAAATACTTCGCTGCAGCTGGCGTTGCTTGGTGAAGTAGTGCAATGACTCAATGCTCGAAATTTTCTGTCCTCCGATGCTACTAGGTCCAAACAAAAATCCTAAGGGAGAAGCCAGCTAAGCCAACATTCTGACTGCGCACACAGTGTGGTGGGGGGGGAGCTGGAGCAAACAAAGGTCCCAAATTCGTTTTTGAATGGGATCTGGAATGGAAAAACACCGCAAGTAAACAAAGCATGCGACTGCTGAGTATGGGACCAAGTAAGCAAGAAATTACCATGATAGAGGCGATATAAGAGATAAGTAATATAAGCTTTAGGTCGGGGTTGTGAGTGGGAATGATTTCCTGCATTCTGAAAGTAGCGTCGCCGAGCGCCGAATCATTATGATAGCATTGATCAGAGCCGCTCAACATCAATTGAGGTGATATCACCCAGTTTCTGAATCTGAAGTTTTGATCTATGAAATATGATATATGCGTTATATGCTATTATATTGTATGATTGGTGTGGTGGGTGGCTGGATGCAGGTGCTTGGTGCTGGTGTTGGGTGCTGGGTGGTGGGGTACTGAGCTGGGGAGTGGCGGGTGGTGGTGCTGGGCTACTGGGTGTTTGGGTGGTGCTGAGGCAGTGGGTGAGTTTGATCAGGTTGGCTGGTGCTTCTTCTTTTCTGTATGATTGCTGTTGATGCCCTTTGTGGAGTGTTAGCGGGAGGGGCCCTACTGAATTTGTTGGTTTTGTTGCTTCTTGCTTTGGTGGTGCGGCTGCTGGTGCTGGTGCTGTTGGTGCTGCTGGTGTTGCTGGTGCTGGTGCTGCTGCTGCTGCTGTTGTTGTCGTCGTCGTCGTTGTTGTCGAGTTTGTTGTTGGTGGTGGTGTTGTTGGCGCTGTGCCCCGGGCCAATGACGATTATCCCAAGGCCATCGAGTTCATCGGCGTAAGTTTCATACTCGCCAGCATGATTTCCACTCAACACGATTATCAGAAGCGCTGTCGCCGCACTGCCATTACAATCACTACCAGCGCTGGTGTCGCTCTCGGCTACCATATGCGATGTGGCTTTGTTCAACGCCAGCAGCATCACGATTGTCAATGTTCATCAACATGAGCAACATCTTCATACCAGTTCCTGGTCATGGGTCGCCAACTAATCCTCTCTGCTGCTGAAAGCATGTAAAGACTGTCCGTGACTATCGCAGTCATCATGATGTCGGAGATAGTCCTCCATCAACATAGTAATTTTCCTCATCCCCATCCTCCTTCCTATTCCCTGATAAGCTCTCACTAAACTAAACCATGTTTCAGCATCAGCAGCATCGAGAGCATCTTGGTCACGTGTCACAGCCATACCTGCAAACAGCCTGTTCTTCTTGGTCATAATCACTTCGTCTCATCATGTCCGGTAGCATGATTGTCATCATCATTTTCGTCTTCATCTAAGGGTAGTAGTCATCAAGAGCACAAGCGTATAAATGGCAGTACAAATAATAGTATTGTGGCAAATAGAGCAAGAAGACTGAGAGTAGTAATTAATCATCGCCGTCATTTTAGTCATCCTCGGCAATCGTCATGCTTGAGTTAGGATGAGCTAGGTATAGGTATCCATTCAATACCCTTGTATGGGTTGGGTCGACTCTGCTTCGACGCGGCGCACAGTCAGCATCAGCACTTGTATTTTATAATTGTTGAGTCTTAGCAGGGACATTTTGTTCTTGGTGTTGGTGGCTTTGCCGTACTGCGCTTTCTTGCTTCGCATGACATGACGACTTTGGCTGTTGATGCAGTTCTTGCCATGGGCAGGCCGCAAAGCTTTTTACAAAGATGGTGAGCGCGCGGGTCCCTCCGGCACCTCGGCCCAAAACACAAGCAGGTTCTGTGCTTGCGGCTGTGCATGATGATACACGGTTGGAAGCATCCTATGAGAACGAAAGGTATTCGGGAATTCAAACAACCGCCATTCTTCTTCGAATGGTTACGCGTAGAAAAGCCATCCTTTCGACTACGAGACTACGGTGCTTGTCTTTGCACACCTCACATCAAAGTTTAACGGGCAATGTGACGGTCAAAGCAGCATCATCCAATAGACCCTTGACTGGTGGCTCCCTGCTTTGCCGAACAACTGGACCAAAGTGCCATGCAGCTGCCCTCGGTCACGGTAAACCCGGCTACACACTGTCATGAAAATCAGAGGTAGTCTTTAGAGCAGCTGCTCCTGTTATTTCCATCACGAGAGTTGCCGCTATCATTAACTTCGTCGCTGCAATCACCATATGATCCTGAGCTTTCCTCGTTATCACCAAACCGAACCGCTTTTGTTTGGTCGAAGTTTTGCAAACGGCTGTGTTTGCACTTCAGCAGTCCCCTGATCACGATGATGATGATCGGGTTGGTAGCTATGATGCCGAACATACTCGTGAACATGGGGATGGAAGTGACGACATGGAGAGCAAGAAGGCTATGATTACGTTGACGTTGACGGCGGTCACTGTGCAGGTGACTTGTAGTGCTAAAGATGCCCCCGAAGATGCTGCTGGTGCAACAGAGATGATTGCTGTGAGCACAAGGATGATGGGCGTGGTGTTAGTGAGAGTGATTGCAGTGACATAGACTATAAGAGAAGTTTATGCTTGTGGTGCACTTTCGATGCAACGGTGCTGTTGCTCAAGATCGCGTTCATCTTCTGCAAAGCATCATATAGCTTTAGTGCGTTGCTCTGCATTGCCGACTTCGTAGGTACACCGCCCTTCGCTCGAACCTAGCTGCAACACAACCTAGGACATAATATCGTGCCGCTCGGATGCATTGGAGGAGGATGCGGGCTGTAAGTTGAGCCCCAAAGTCCTGCACACTGTAGTATTCCTAGACATGCTTGCCGTTTCTTTTGGTCTGCTCTGTTACACCTGCAGCCTGTGCCAAGGTACAAATCACTGGTTCGATCTCATGATGTCTGCAAGACATAGGTATCACGGCTTCCCTGCAAACACTAGGACTTTTCAGTGAAGCTACATCGTCATCTTGGTAAGATTAGAGTTGCAAGCACATTGCAAGCGTTCAACATGCCCGACCAAGGTAACGCACTGCTACATGGATGTGCCAAAGCGCGCAAGCCAGCAGAAGCTCAGCAGTGGTACTCCAAGATGAAATCCCTGAGTCTCTCCCCGGATGAAATCACGCATCTTGGCCAAGTTAAAAGGTGCATGTTCCTGATGACAACCGTGATGAGAGGGCAGATATGGCCGCAGGTGTTTGATGGTCATGGTTGTTCCAGTTGATCTTGATGCAAAAAGAGGCTGCTTTGGATAACTAGGGGAGAGCCACTGAGCAATTGAAAGATGTTCAACGTTGTTGCCGACATTGCTGGCATTTTCTGGAGTTTGTTTAAGGAAGAGGCCGTAGCTAGCTTCAGGACTTGCATGTGGTCGAATCCAGGGAATTCAGGGTGTTGGGATCTTCGACGTTCCTTGCGCCCTAAGCAAGAAATCCCGATGGAGACCTCAGGTACACGAGCCTCATCGAGAGCTGCACGAGATCGGGCGACGTCACAGGCGCTGACGACTGGCTGAGGACCATGGTCGAGGCCTGACACCTCTTGAAGTTGGGCCTCAACAATTGACATGGGTTGTTTGGGCAGATTCTAAAGTCACAAAAAGGAACCCTAAGGAATAGTATGATAGAAGCCTGATTGACTACTACATTATTCCTTAGGGTTCCTTATTATATACATGTTCTTGTCAGACCCATGGAGCCCGAATAACCCGTCCCATTCCTGAAGAGCCCTGAACGAGGGTTTAGGCTTTAAAAGTTAACAGGGTTTAGGGGTTTTGGGCTTAGCGTTGAGGGGAAGGAAGGCTGATGCAAGGGATCCTATAAGATCCCGGCAGCTGATACAACTTGTAGCAAAGCCAAGCCCGCTTCACCTTTTTTGACTCTTCGTCTCATACTGCGACATGTTGGGGGCTCCTGTATTTCTCCATCTTCTTGCGTATTACGGTTGCCACCACCACCCGGACCACAACCACCACGAGCAGCACCACCACAATGTGCCCCTTGAGCCGAGTAGAGTATTAGTGACGCCCAGCGGATGGCACGCCAGGCCCAACTGACCCCGGATGAGGTTGCCTACACCTCTGCCTCCTGGTCACAATGACTTTCGAACCGGTTGCGAGTCTCAGCGCTGCGGGGCACCAGCACCGCCTGCTGCTTGCAAAAATGCTGTGTAAACAAAACTCTAGACATCTACAGCGTCTGTCTCGAAGGAAGGGCAGTATAGATTTCAAGCCCGGAGAGCTTTCTACTCGAGGGGCTCAAAGGGTTTAGGGTCTACCGCGAACTCCTGAAGCGTCCGTAAACCGCATGCCTTCACTGAAGTTGTTGCATCCCGCGCTTTCCCGAGGTCCTGACAGGATTTGCTCGCGCTTCCGATGTTGTAGAGGCGAGGTGGGAAACTGGCTGGGCTGCAGGAAATACCGGGTCGGTTTACTTAATATAAGAGGGGCCTGAATAATTACCTATTTTACTTTGGGGGGCTCCCTGTTACAATTAGAGCATAATATATCCCCAAGCCATATTCTAAATAGTAAGGTAATATTATTGTTCAGGGATCAGAGGGCTCCGTCATGGATATGACTATCAGATATCACACAAACCCTCTTCTAGTTATGAAGGCCTCTCGTTGGAGTTCAACGTGGAGCCAGTTTACGGTTCTTTACGTCTTAAAAGCCGGCAGAACAGATGACCGACTGCCGGTGATTCTGGGTCGTGGAGTTTGTTGGGAATTTGGTCGAATGGCTTAGAAACCAATATCAAAGGTGACCCACTGCCGATCGCTGGCAGAAGGCAGTGGTCGTCCTGCTTTCGAAAGACGGGTCATCGCAGCCGTCGTTGTCCATGGGGTCTATCATATGCTACGGTAAAGTACATGAGGTGTGGAATAGCAGTGTCTGCAAGATCCGGCGAATACCTTGCACCCTAAATGCGAACACCAAACCCCATGACCATTTGTATAGCATAGTATAGTATAGTATAGTACAGTATAATGTCATCGTAGTCTAGTGTGATATGGAACCCGTCCTTGGGCCCTCAAGGCACAGCGAGTGCTCTGCGACATCAGATCATCACAACTTGAGCCCGACCTGGTCGCGCCCTCTGCTTGCAACGCTGGATTCTGGCGGTATAACGTTTTATACTATACTAATGTTTCAATACAATATAATATGATGTAACATGTTATAGGTCTTCAGTGGGATCGAGCGACAGAGAGAGAGAGAGAGAGAGAGAGAGAGAGAGAGAGAGAGAGAAAGAGAACAAAAATCTCGAGAGAGAGAGAGAGAGAGTGAGAGCGAGCAAGCGATAGAAGATTCCTCACCCAGACCAGAAGACGGTGCCGAAGCAGATTCGCGGCTCTGTATCCAAGTGCAGGTAGGGTGTGCAGCTGCTGCTCGGAATATGTGTGTCAGGAAACTGTGCAAGGTCATGTAGACCCACGCCGCTAAGTGGCGCTGTTTTTGTAAGATTCCCAGAAGAGCTTCTGGAAGCCTTTCCATGCAGCATCCGGCAACACCAGCTTTTTGAACTTACCCGTGATGTCTTGAATGCTTGGTCTCGGACTACTGTGAACAGCTGCGACGGTGAAATTTGCTGCAGTTTTGGATTCCTGGTCAAGTTTTCGGACTGTGGAAGCCCCAGATCCACTGTGGCTCGAGAACCACGAAGCCTTACTTCCTACGGAGGTATACAGTACTTGTGCAGTTGCTGGAGAACAGAACCGTTCGTAGCATGTGCAGCTTGAGAACACCGACAAATGTGGTATTGATAGCGAAAGCAGTCTGAGAACGACTATGAGCGCTGCAATGAAGCGGTCAAGCCGCAACTTTGGAGCCGAAGAAGAACTGCGACTACAGCAGTTGAGGCTTTAGAATTTACACTCATGGGCAGCCTAAAAGCAGAAATGCAGCATGTCAGCTGATTGCAGCCTGAGAACACCAGAAACACTGCAAGTTGCAGCATTTGTAAGACAAGAACGACCAGGCTGCGAATCAAAGCAGTTAGGACCTCCGGTTGAGTCATTTCGTGATGCCATGTAGACCCTAGGTGTTTAGGCTCAGAGCATCGACCCGAACATCAAGATCAGAAGCCAATCCGAGGCACCCGCGTTTGCTGTTATGGCAGAGATTCGTCTTAAAGCCCCTGTGCACACATCCGATGCTGTCCTAGGTATACCGCCCTGGTGGCACGGCAGCATGGGAGGAAAGGCCCTCGTGTGGGATTCGGAGGTTTCGGGCCCTGGCGACTTCATCCTGACAATTGTAGATGCAATTGGAACGGATGTTATTGCTTCAACCAGCTTTCTTGACGATTTCAAGCATCACGCATGCAAAGCGCTCATCATTGGGCATTTCACGTGCAACGAGAAAGGCAACAGAAACTTCAGGAAGCATGAATGTTTCATGAGGCTTCGCAGAGGCAGGAAATGTAGCGACAGTGAGGGCGACAGCATGAGAACAGACCAGCATCGACAGCACAGCTTACCATAGTGCTTACCATAGTTTACAACCCGTGCCCAACCTGTCCCGGTACTAGCAGTGACGCAAGGAGCCTGTTCATTCGCCCATAAGTTGCAGTGATGTCATACAAGTCAAGTGTTCATGTCCGGATTTCCGAAGCGGCGCTGCAAGAACACCTGAGCACATCAAGTGTCAAAGGTCTCTCAGCACAAAGATGTTGGTATGGCTTCGAGTGCTTGTGGCAAAGCGCTGCGGTCTCGAGACACAACGACTGTAAGTCCTGAAACACAAGGTCTGATAGCCCTGCAGGCATCGAAGAGGCTGCTTGACAACGATGCGGGCATGCACACCGAACAACTCGTAGAGTCCAACAATGCTTCTTGGAGAGGGCCCCGAAAAAGCACGTGCGGCCTTCAACCAGCTTCCTGCGACCTCTTGAAAGAGGAGGGCCTCAGCAGAGCACCCGCCTCCAACCAGCTCTGGATGGGCCCGCACAACCGTGTGTGGCCTCCAACGTTCTACGACCTCAGGACAGGGCGCCCCCAAAAGTGCGCGCGGCCTCCAACCAGCCCTCCGCCCGTGGTTAGATGTTGCTGGAAGCATTGGGAGGGAGTGGAAGAACCGCGGTGGGAACAGCAACAACGCGTACCAAGGAGATTCACACCTAGACCCTATCCATCCCTGCAAGTAGAGTTTTTGGTAGAACCCTAAGCCCTAACCCCCAGAAGCCCTGGCCCCCTGAAATCTAAACCCTTAACGACCTAACTGTACCTCCAAGCTTTGTTGAAAGCTGCACGGGTCCTTCAGGGATTGACCCGAAAACCAGGACTCTAAGTCCTTGGTTTCCCGGGCCTACCATGATTTTGCCCAGTTCTCCGAAACACTAAAGTCTAGAAGCAGGAGCAATAGTTACAAAATATACATCTCACAGCCAACCTTCTCCTGTGCCTTACTTAAAGCTTCAAGGCCAGTGCATCCGCGAGGGCTGGCGATCCAGAGGGTATTCAGACGGTCTTCCGTGCCTGAGCGTCGACATGGCAGAGCGCAGTATTCATCACAATTATGCAGCCTGTTTTTTGTTAACAGGCCCGTACGTACTTGGTGCTTGCATCAGCAAAACGGGTTAGATCCGAAACGAGGGTGCAAACGAGGGTCAGAATCCGAGGTGATATCTATGCTGCCGCCTTGCAACCGCGGTTTGCCTGCACCATGCGCAAGCCTATATAGCCCAAACACCCCGATGCTAGATAACTTGCAACCACCAGTTTTAGGTTCAAAAAGGCCTTTGAGCCGTAGATGTTGCCGTTCATGCATTAGCTTCAGCACTTGCGAAGTTTTCAGCTAGTTCCTGGTACGAAGTTACTTCAAATCAAAGCGGTACAAAGCCTCGTGGAGACCTTGGGTTCGCTGGTCGGTATTGATGCTCCCTTCGGGCTCAAAAGGTTCGCCGTTTTTAACGGGATCCTCTCGAAAACCATCCACAGTGCTCGCTTGGTGCTATTTGCGGCCAATCGAGCCGAGGAACCTGCTTACGTGGACCGCCGCTATCGCCGCCTGTGCACGGGCCCGGCCACCCCGCCCACGCAACTCGACGGCGAGCCTGTGATTTGTCTTGGACTGTTCATGCGTTTGACTAAATATATTCCAGCAGGCGAACATACGGTGGAAGCACTAGTGCAGTAATTACATGAACAAGTTTACCTTATCATCACCTATTGGCCTACTGACCACATTCCCTGGCCAGGCATTTGACCTGTCTCGACAGACCTTGCAACATTCTATGAGAATGAGATTATGCTGCGCAGGGGTATGCTAGGCTAAGTTAAGCGAGTTTGCGTTTGTTCATGGCTTTTACTTTGTTGCTTGGGTCGTAGTTTGCTTCTGTACAGGCATGCCGCCTCACATACACCAACAGGCACTAAACCCAAGAGTTCCCAGGAGAAGCAGAACGAGCTTTCCAATCGATGATCCGGCAATCTCTCGAGCCGGATGAGGCCATTAGGGTTTGAGGGCTTTGAGTAACTTCCGCTTTGAATCTGATGCCATGTTTTCCAGCTTTACGCTTTCGGGGCGCTGCGATTGCTTGGAGTCGGTGTTTTCCGCTGTGATGTTGGGCCGGCTTCGGTTCTGCATTCTGTTAAAGAGACATCAAAACACAACGCCATACGGGTGATCCAGGCCCTGGATCAGACCGAAAATACCCTAAACCCTAAACTATACCCCAAAAAACACAACAAATCACAAATCCCGAAAACGGGTCCTCAACCTGTCGTCCCGAAAGCCAGGTTGCGCTTCGGAGGCTCGAGGAGGCCGCACCGGATAGCAGCCTAAGTGTTCATAGTAACAATAGTCATCATAGTAGTAGTAGTAGTAGTAGCAGCAGCAGCAGCAGTAGTAGTAGCAGCAGCAGTAAGAATAAGAAAAAGACTGGTTCGTAGAAGTCATGACAAACATCGTGCTAGTAATTCATTTTGTGGCCTAGATTCGGAAAGACTCGGATGTAGAGAACAGCTAGGGCTTTTTTGGCACGTTGTCGCTTTAGGCTTTATAGACCTCTCTGTTAAGCCGGCCCATGCAAAGCCAAAGCCCTAGCAGGCATCCGAACTATTCGAACTCGGTGTTCCTTCGGATCGGCGTTATGCATTCTCTCGGAAAACCATGTCCGGATTCTCTAGATTCCACTTCTGCTTTGCAACCGCGCCAACCTGAAACCCTGTAGCTTCTCAAGCCCTGGAAGCCTGCATGCCTCGATGGCTTCCTTTCCACAGGCCGCAGACAATCCTGCGTTTGGACACACACACACACACCCGAGTTGATCTGAGCTGGATGCAACCCTGAAAACCAGCTGAAAACTTCCCACTGCAGAGTCGGTTCTGCGTTCTTGGTTGTTCTTGGTTTAGGGTATCGGACACGGTAAAGCACTTATAGCGCAGTTCCCATTCAAACCATGCATGTGCACTTGACCATGCACGAGCAAAGCAATCATAGCACACAAACACACACACACACACACACCCAGACCTCTCAACCTCTGTAGGTCTGTTCTGGTTAGAAAGTGCTGAACCTTGCTTTGAAAGCCACAGGCCGTCGGACCCCATCGTGTTGCTGTGCTTTGCCGCGGGCTGCGACTTCCAGGTGACGTGGTGAAGAGCACGCGAAGAGCAGCTGCAAAAGTTCGTTGGGACCATTGGGAGCCGTGTACGTAGAGGCTTGCTATGTCAGGGATATGGGATGTTTGGGCTTTAGTGGCTTAGGATCTTGTATTGGGGTCTTCGAGAGTGTAGGAATTTGAGCGGTCGCGACGTAGCGAAGTTTGCGGCCACTTTGGGATCTGGAGGTTTCGCTTTCTGGTCTTGGCGTCAGGTGCATGGTTTGTGCTTCTGGGTGCATGCCACTTAAGTTTCGACTGACTGCGAGATTCAACTTTAATCGCTGAAGCTGTTTCTGTGTGGGGTGTTCAATAGCATCGGAGGAGCAGGCTCAAAAATCAGCTACGTAAAGGTGGTTCCTGGTGCTTGTGTGTCAGTCCAAGCTCTAGCTGGAGCCTGGACTGGTCCTGTCAGGTTGCATAAACCCTAAATCCTATGTAAGAAGACACAACAAATCTCGGTTTTTGGATGCAGCCTTTACTTGATGCTAGTTTGCATCCTTGTTGGTCTCTGTTTGTTTTGTCTCTGTGTGTGTGTGTGCATGCGGGAGTGTCAAAAGGTGCTCGCATGTTCCCGGAACTCGACCTAGAAACATCGGCGAGACATCATTGTACTACCTGCAGCAACTTTACCGAGCTCATCAGTATTCATGCTTCGTCTTTACCATCAGCCCAAGCCAAGCTTGGTTTCAATATTCGCTCACCGACGTTGCGGCCGCAGCCGTGTTCAGCCAAAAGAGCTGTCACGCACAGCCACGACTTGCCCCTGATGACGGATGCTTTGCGAGATGTCTACTACGCCTTTGCAGGTGGGAACTATGGCAGAAACCTCGAGCACATCATGTGTTCAGAAATTTGTAAACCTGGTTTCAACCATGGCTGGAGGCTTTCGGGGCTGCGGGGGTAGGAGGGGGAGCATCCTGATGCGTAAAGCTTGCATTTCCTCGGCAGGCGGTTCGGAAATGGATGGGCGTGCCTTTGTCAAATGCCTCAAGGACTCAGGCCCAGGGGCAGGGCTAGGGTGTTAAGTATTTTTGGGGGGCTTGGGGTTTTGAGGTTTAGGGTAGCAGTCTTCTAGGGCTGGATGCGATGGTTAACTAGCTGATTATATCACGTAGTTTTGGGAAGAAGAAGCATCGCTGGAGACACGGCATAAAACAGACACGAGCAGGGATCATAGGCCCTAAACGGCCAAACCTAAACTCCAGACCGTAAAAAAACTAGCACGAGCCCATTGGCCTCGAAGCCCCTCCACATCCGTCCCTAAACTTCACCCTTGTAGAAGGCAGCAAGCTAGCCTGTCCCCCAAAAAAAGAGCCTTGGGCCGGTGGAGGCCTGCTGGATGAGAGGCTGAAGACAGTCCAGGCAAGGGGGTTTTGCAGTTCTCGAGGGTCAAAGCTTCTGAAGTCCTCAGGCTTAGGTTCTTGATTAGGATTCAGGGTGGGGGTTCTGGCTTCCAGCATTGTCACGAATACTCGGATGTGTTGTGATATCATTGAAGCCGTGAGCGTCGAATGGTGGGCGAGGTAGGGTGCGTTTTGAAGGTTTGGATCAATCATGGAAGAAGGCAAACAGTACTGACAAAATTCGAGTGTCTTGCATGCTGATGTCCCCGCCTTTACTGGTGCACTTTCTCTTGGTAGTTTTGCAACTGTCACTACTTTTGTTCCGCTCTCGTTTGAGCAGCTGTCGCTACTGCGTTGGGAACTCCACTCTTCGTCGTGGGCATTCTGAAACGCCTCAGGATGCGTGTGGCCATGATGCACGAGCCCAAACCGCCCTTCCCAAACCGTGGTTCAACTCAGTGTGCAAAGTAAACAACCTGATCTAGTAACGAACAACAAATGATACATGTATCTGTATATGACATCACTTTCTGTCACTTACTAAAACTAGATTGTTCATGTATGGATGTGGATACGTGAGTGCAACCTCCATACATCTACGCATACCTGAGCGTGTTTGCATGTGTGGGGGTGCCGCTGGGTCCGTGTATTCTGTTGTGATCTAACGTACATCAACGCGCAGTTCACTGTAGCCGTTAAAGTGAAATGTCGCGCAATCATAATAGCGCAGCTCATGCCTGTAGATCTGTTGCTCCAAACCCTCGAACTCCTCACAGATGCTTATGGAATTACGGTGCATGCGAAAGGTTTGTATGAGCTGGCAATTCATTGATGACCCCACTTCAATAGAAAATCGAAGCAGCTTTCCCCATTCCCAAAATTCTAGGTACTAGTACCTTACAACCTCTAAACCATGAAATCCTAAGTTAAGTATCCTGCAGCGAATTTAGAAATCCCAAAACTAAGAGCTGTTAAAGGAAGTTTTCAATAATGCCCCCAAAATATGATGAGGTATGCGAGCCCAGAATAGCTACCTGTGGTATTCCTTAAGGTTCCTGCCTAGAAAAAGGCAAAAGGCCCACGGAACCCTATTCCAACTGTTGCGGTCTCTGCGTCACCCTAAACCCTAAACCGATTTTGAGGCCCGCGCATCTTGTTTTCTTGTTGCTCGGAGGCCGATCTGATTTTCGCGAGATGCAGCTCGACCGTTTCATGCTACCGGGGGTTGAGGGTTTGAGAGCTTAGAGTTTTGCGTTGAGGGTTCGGGGAGAGGCCAATGCAAGTAAGATCTACTAGCCATACAAGCATTTTTTATGAGAGACGGTCGCAACTTGAATGTGGATAATTGCAAAAATCACTTGCACCTCCCATCATCAAGGATTGATCATCTGAGTTCTTGAACTATTGCGATCAGGATCCGGGTGTTGCAATGGTTGTCGGTTCGATCGGGTGAGGCACGGGAATTGCGTGCCACACACCCGCCACCCAGAAGTCCTTGCCGCTTTGATCCCGCTGAGGACCCGAACCAGGTTCAGAAACAGAGATCGGGCTGTCGTCCCAAACCCTAAGCCCTAAGCCGTTCCGGTTCTTCCTTCTATGCGAGCTTTGTCCGTAGACCCGAAAGCCTGCTATCCTAAAGTCTTGTAATAAAAATGTGCTCAGAAATTCTACACCCTTGAATTGAAACCTTTCAGACTTCAGCTCTACATCTTAGTTACAGTTATATTTTAAAATGTGCTTTGCTATGGCCAGGCAAGCAGAAAGGTGCGCGAAAGATGAGCTTTGACAGGACTGGGGTGGGAAGGGACTGCCGGTTTGTACGATTTCAGGATTTCTGGCACAGATTTCGGGGCTTAGGGCGCCGATAGACAGCTTCGGCACATCCGAAAGAAATCTGAACTTAAATTCTGTGGTAAAGCGATCCTTTTTGTCCCGAGTCGGCAGGATCCGTCTTATCAGGAGGATTTTGTTTTGGCTTGAAGCTGCGAGGATCACCAATGACAGAATACTTGCTCGCCAAATCAGGGTCGAAATAATTCGTAAGAATGTCCCAGAAAGGTCCTTGTGCGTTTATGCTACAATATAGCCTCTGACGTCTGAACTTTGAATGAAGACCTGGTTCCAACCCACCACTGGCACAGACGGGACAGCTTCTAATTTTACTAAGTATGAAGGTCCCTACATGACTACTTCCCAGATCCCCTTCATCCGCAGGTGATTCCAAGAGAGACCTCCTGTGGAAATCCTGGCATAGAAGGGCCCCACGACTTTATCCAAAAGCCGAACCCCAAGATGCAGGTCCTCCAGAAGCAAGCTTCAAGCAATTACGCTTGCAGCTGCTGTGATATTCTTACTATTGTTTACGCCTACCCTGATCTTAAGAGTACAAAATAACCCCCATAATACGTAAGCCCTGAGACTAGAAGTGCGACACGTAGCTTGGTAGAATCCTCAGGTTCGTCGGAGCGCTGCACGAGGCATGGGTTGACATAGAATGCAGATGCAAGTTCGGTTTAAAGACTTACGGTAGCAAAGCGAGTGTAGATCCTGTGTCGCATTGCTCCTGCAACTATGCGAGACTTGCTTCGTAGCCTGTTTTCATAACTTGGAGTTTGAAGCTTCGCACTCATGCGATGGCCGCCGTGCGAATCCCTTGTCACATGGGGGGCTTTCGGGTTTGGAGAAGTTCAGTCTTAGCAGACCCCACTGCTTTTCAAGTGTAGTGCTCACAAGACCGGCTAGCAGGTGGTGATCGTGATGATGGTAGCAGTGTCCCCAGAAGAAGATCGGAGGCTAGTGTACAAGAATCTCCACCCTGCCACCCCTCTTCCCATCCCAAGCCGCGAGCCCGACATATTCACCCACGAACTACGAGCTCGACGCAAAAAGCACCCTGCAAGCGGTCGCCCAAGAGCCCTTCAACAAATGAGCCCTAGCCCCAAGGCCACAGCGCCGAAGCCTGGGCTTCCAAAACACACACACACACACTGAGAAAGTGCTCGCGCACTCACGGATGTGATGTTACATTACATGTCGGCTAGATAAAGCTGTGTGCTGTGCTGTGTTTGGAGCCTTAGGCGTAAGACAGATTGCTGCAACCGCACATGTCGACTGAAGCTTTGCGGAAC